TTATTTTGTGAGTCAAAATCCTTCCATATATGGGGCAGTCACCTTCCACATGGGTGGACGTGGAGCCTGAATAACAGGCTGACATTGCAATAAATTGTTCCAGCTGATAACCTGAGCAGAAGTGCTGCAGTCGGCTACTCAGCATCTTTCTGACACATATCTGAGTCTCCCACTTTAGCAGATGACCTGATTCTGTATGTGGTTCTGTGGGGTTATAGTGCGGTGTGAGGCAGACGGCATCATCAGCCCAGAGGGTGTCCCAACCAACACCACTGTCTGCTGACAAACACATTTTTATCTAACTATTTGCTTTTGTATAAAGCAAATAGTTAATTTTCGTTTTATGTGTTAGTTTCCTCTCAGCTTGTTGAACTGAATGATGGAAAAAAGGACAGCAAAGTCAGGCTTTTTAGCTTATCATGTTCATCACTGTATTTTTGTTTTGGACTAAAACTGTTTACATTCAAAGAAAGATTCAAATCTTTTTTCTGGGGAACTGGCATCAAAGAGTTTAATTTAGAGAATGTGATATCATCAGTCCATTTTCCTAATGTCTATGCCAAATTGGGCTGCAGTAGCTCAGTGGTTTATGGTAAATGGACTGAACTTTTAGAGCGCTTTTAGTTAGTGTTGCGGTCTTGTAATCCTGAAAGCAGGTTCAAGCCCGGGTTGCGTCAGGAATATGGAAAGAAACTCGTGTCATTAGAAACGGAATTCCAATCACTCTGACTGAATCTGTATTTGCATTTAGTGAAATTAAATGCTTTGGTTTGAAAATGAATCCATTTGCTTTGAGACTGTATTTCGCTTTTCAGTTTATATCTGACTTCAGCTGGGAGGGACGCTGCATGAGGACTGAGTCGCCTGACGGTACTTTGGGATGGGGAAGGAGCTCATGGCAGCCCCCGCTGCTCATCGGAGAGAACGGTAGCAGCTGTGTTCCCGTCAGAGTCCCCAAAAGTCTCAAAAACTCCGGAAAAAAGTTGCTAGATTTTTCTCTAGGCGTTTTCAAAGAACAGTCACTATAGTGGTCTGAAAACTTACTAAATATAGCCCCAAAGTGGCTATACTCACACAAATGCAATCCACAACCTCTCTCATGTCAGACTGTCACATGTTAATTCAATCTTGAGCTTAAGTGCAAATTAATGTGCATTATCGGAATTTTAGAATTACTGATCAGAGAGGGCAAAATAACAATTATCATACAAATATGATATCTATTGATCATCTGGTAATTACTGCCTCCTTGAGACTGAACCCCATGCCTACATTGCCGTGAAGGAAGTTTTACTGATGTGAAACATAAACCTATCAATCTGTGGTTTTCTCAAGGACCAGGATGTGTGACACAAAGAACTAAATTTTGGAATTAAAACTGAATTAAAGAATTGAAAGTGAAAGCGGTCAAACAGAATTTTAATACAACAAAACACAGATTCAAAGCAAATAAATTCAGTTTCCAACCGATAAATTCAGATTTAAACCATCAAATTTGATTTCAATTTAGTGAAATTCACATAGAAACCAATGCATTTAATTTCAAACTACGCTCATTCCAAGCAATTCTAATTCAGTTTCTGATGGCACAAGTTTTCTTCTCATTTAGGACGGTCACTTGGCATAAAACCATTGGCAAATCTTTTATGCAAATATGATTGCTGTGGCAGAAGGGAGCAGTTGAAAGAAAAACAGCAACTGTGTCTGTGCCAAACTAAAAATTGTAGGAGTTAAACTRAAAGGACTGACACACAGATGGCTTGACACAAACCTGAATGAGTTACTGTAGGTTTTTTCCCTTAAGGCCCTGTCACACTATAATCGTTTTAGACAACTTATATCAGACTATGAAAATTTTAGACATCTATGTTGAAGAGATGAAAATGAATGAAAAAAAATCAACTGGAAGCCTTTTTTAGGCATGTACTACATTCTGTAATGGTAACAAATAGATCAAATATATAACTTTTTTAAGCAATTTAGACATTAAAAAATCATAAGTTGATATAAGTTGTCTAAAACATTACAGTGTGACAGGGCCTTTAGCAAGTGGAAACTTTTCTTTTTTTATAGAATACACAACTGCTTTTTTCCTTTTTGTTTCCACCAACATGCCAACCTACCTGAGCTAAAGAAGTTGATGAGGTTTAAAATAATATTCTGCATATTCCGTGGGACAATGTGTCCAAAGACAGCAATCCAGTGCTTTCTGAAACACTGCAAGGTATCTTGAAGACTCCAGGGTGGTTTTAAATAAACTATCTATAACACAAAAGTAAGAGAATAAAACGACRATTGTAATTATACTGCAGATAAACACAAAGCACAGTCAAATGGAAACCTAACTGTTTTACATGTCATACTGCTTATCAGGTACATAAAAGCATGTTGTAGGAGAGCGTTAGCGGATAAWTTTAACAATGTACGACAACATACAGTTAGGTCCATATATGTATTTGGATACTGATACAAATTTTGTCTTTTTTACCTGTTTACTGAAACATATTCAAGTTATGGTTATATAATGTACATGGACATAAAGTCCAGACATTCAGCTTTCACTTGAGGGTATCCACATTAAAACTGGATGAAGGGTTTAGTAGTTTCAGCAACATGTGCCACCCTGTTTTTAAAGAGACCAAAAGTAATTGGACAATTGACTCCAAGGCTATTTCATGGACAGGTGTGGGCAATCCCTTCGTTATGTCATTATAAAAGKCCTAGARTTGATTTGAGGTGTGGTGCTTGCATTTGGAAGGTTTTGCTGTGAAGAAAACATGCCGGTCAAAGGAGCTCTCCAAGCAGGAGAAACAAGCCATCCTTAAGCTGCATAAACAGAAAAAACCCATCCCTGAAATTGCTACAATATTAGGAGTGGCAAAATCTACAGTTTGGTACATCCTGAGAAAGAAGGAAAGCACTGGTGAACTCATCAATGCAAAAACACCTGGGCGCCCACGGAAGACAACAGTGGTGGATGATGGCAGAATAATCTCCATGGTGAAGAGAAACCCCTTCACAACAGCCAACCAAGTGAACAACACTCTCCAGGAGGTAGAAGTATCAMTATCCAAATCTACCATAAAAAGACGACTGCATGAAAGTAAATACAGAGGGTTCACTGCACGCTGCAAGACACTCATAAGCATCAAGAATAGAAAGGCTAGACTGGACTTTGCTAAAAAAAAAAAAAGCCAGCACAGTTCTGGAAGAACATTCTTTGGACAGATGAAACCAAGATCAGTCTTTGCCAGAAGGATGGAAAGAGAAAAGTATGGTGAAGGTGTGGTACAGCTCATGATCCAAAGCACCACATCATCTGTAAAACACAGCAGAGCAGTGTGATGGCTTGGGCATGCATGGCTGCCAGTGGCACTGGGTCACTAGTGTTTATTGATGATGTGACACAGAACAGAAGCAGCCCAATGAATTCTGAGGTATTCAGAGCCAGACTGTATGCTCAGATCCAGACAAATGCAGCCAAACTGATTGGTCGTCATTCCACAAACAAACAGCAACTGAAAACCTCTGCAGTGAAGCCCGGCAGAGCATTAAAAAGGAGGAAACACATCATCTGGTGATGTCTATGAGTTCAAGACTTCAGGCAGTCATTGCCAACAAAAGCTTTTCAACCAAGTACTAGAAATGAACATTTAATTTACAATTATTTAATCTGTYCAATTACTTTTGAGCCTYTGAAATGAAGGGATTGTGTTTAAAAGATGSTTTAGTTCCTCACATTYTTATGCAATCATTTTGTTCAACCCACTGAMTTAAAGCTGAAAGTCTGAACTTCAACTGCMTCTGAATTGTTTTGTTTAAAATTCATTGTGGTACTGTCTAGAACCAAAATTWAAAAAATGTCTCTGTCCAAATAGATATTGACCTAACTGTATATGGGYACTAAAGCTAAATTAGATTTAGGGAAATTCCTTCATATAAAGTCTTAATGATGTAAAATATTCTACCTCGAGCCAGAGGTCTCCATAGGCAGCCTTCATCTCCACCTCTAAGACATCAGACAGCACCTCCCGCAGACATTCTTCTAGCTCAGAAAGACTTCTGCTAAGGTCCCGTTTTGTCTCTTTGYGCTCTCCTTCACCGAGTCGCTCATCTGCAGACACGTGTGAAGAATCATTACAAAAATGCACAAATTCACTGTGTATACGCATTAATTAGGCAATAGAAATTATAGGGCTTTTCATTAGAGTTCAGTATCTATGCTACTAAGTGTGAAGTTGCACCTTTCAAAATATGCAAGTTTCTAGCTTTAGCTTTATTTTTATATTTTCACTCCTTTACTCAAACTGTTACTCAATCCAGTTCTGACTGATTTAAATGGAAGTAAAAAAAACAGGAAATAAGAAAGAAATGTGTGTGGACATGCTGAGTGAGTGATATTACAACACCATCGTGATGGAACATTTCAAGTTCCTTCCTGTTTTGCACGAARAACAATTTATCCTTGAATCACCTTTGTCTGGAACGACTACAAAGAGACCATCTTTCTCCTGACCACGTGGCTGGACCGTTGCACAACTCGTGCCCGACGCCGGTGACGAGACCTCGGGGCTGATCTGAGGCAGGACCGGAGATTGAATGGTCTGCTGGATAGTACAGCCATGTCTGACCTCTGCCTCCAAGTCACTCTTGCAGAGAGCCCTCACCCCGCTCAGGTGAGCTTTACAGCACAGGTTTTTATCATTACTAGAAAAGAAAAATAATAATAATAAGAAGAAAGGGTTATTTAATTTGATTCCCCTCATCAGCTACATAAAGTTAGGGCAAAATCATACCATGTTATCCAGTGTGGAATGTSAAAAGAATTATGTGGAAACAAAACCATTCAAAGTAATAAGCCAAAAGATATTTAAAATAAGTTAAATATTCTTCACACCAAATTCTAGCCAAAAAAATCAACAAGCAAGTCTTGAACTAAACACAGAATTCCTCGCTCAGCACATCTATTCATTGCAAAAGTCYGTTTGGCTTTTTCTCTCATCCCAACTGGAACTATCTGGCTCAGTCACATGCGTGTGCATCATTAGCAGAGAACACATACTTTGCAGCAGCAGCAATACACTGAAAGTCTGGGGGGGAGGGGAAACTCACGTGCATAAGATGAGAGCACACCCTGGGTACATTTTCTGGTACTGCAGRCAGCACTGCAGCACTCTGTCATCATTATTCTCAGCTTTTAGATCTTCTGAGCGGGGGAAAAAAGAGGAACAGACAAGATGACAAGAGTGACTCAGAAAAACCAAAGCTTTTTAAAAACAGATGACAGAAAGTACACAGTGCTCTTATTGAAAAAGCATATGTCTCATTTTTTTTTCCAAAAGAGGAGAGAAAGGTGAATATAATATAAAAAGATGTAACAAGATGGAGATGTTTCTTTTTTAAAAACAAACACACTAAATGCTTAGGTCCTTAAAACACAACTGTCTCACTGTCAAATAATTTATTAAAATTAGAGATAAATACATGAATTAAACATCACGCGGTCATAAAACTGACAAGACATGGATGCAACCTGYCCTTGAGCTGCACACATCCCACAAGAGTCCTAAAAATAAAACACTGAAGTGTCACTGCCACTTAGAGGCCTTTCAGTGAACTACAACTTTAATTAGAAAAAAAAGAAATTGCATCAGTGTTTTAATATATTTCTTTAAGATAATATAWTATAGCGTCACAAAACAGAATTCCAACAAAACACTTAGCTCCCAAAGTATAAAATATAAGCAATTAACTGTTCTGCTCAAATGATTTTACCCAGATAACGAGCAGAATGAAAGATGTTAAGTTGCTACGTGCTTTGCCTGTATTCGTGAGCGCCATAATCTTATGAGATCCTTTATAGCTCAAATAAATAAATAAATAAATAAATAAAAAGAAGTTGATTAGACAAATAATCGTTCCTTTCCATGAATCAACACTCACTACTGCTCACAGCGGCCTGCTGCATGGACTGCCCCCACAGGTGAGGGTCTCGGCTCTTTAAAGTGCTGTAGATGTAGGAGATGGCAGGCGTTGCGAGGTGGGACACAGAATCTATCYGGCCTCTTCCCCTTTTTAAGGAATCCAATTCTTGAAGCACCACCCAGGGGATCAGGACGACAGGAAAGCCCAGTGCTAGCAGAACACAAAGAAGAAACCAAGTAAACGAGAAAAAAAATACAATTAAATTAAGAAAAATAAATAGTTTTAGTTATAATATTAAGTTTTCAGTACCTCCAAGGCCACAAGATTTGATCTTTTTCACATACTCCAAGTGMCTGAGGAGAATATTTGTGTCAAGAACAAGGATCAGGTCTTGCTGACAGGGCTGTTTGCCTGCAAAAATATAATGGTTTATTACTAGGAATGTGTAAAACAATACAATAACACAAAAACATTGCAATTTCAGCAAAAGTGCRGTACCTACAAAATGTAGTTTGTACATTTTATAGTAAAAAGTACATTAATCTGCCAAACACTTTACTATAGCACCAAAAGTACAAATTCAACAGCTGTACAGATTCATCTTCATTATTATTATTATTTTTTGGTTATTTTTTACAAAAACAACTGAAACAGATCTACACAACACTTTAAATTGTGAACTTAAAATGCATCTTGTTGTTATTTCACACCTGATTTCAGGTTTAGTACTTTTTTTAATTACATGAAACTCACATAGCGTGTCTGCTGGTCCTTCTTCTGGAGAATCTATGTCCACACATGTGAGGGCACCATAGCTCTGCAGAACATTTACCTCCAGTCTCTTCTCAGAGCGAGCAAGATGAAGCTCTTCAACCACCTGCCCCTAAAACAACAACATACTTTAAAATACACTTTAATCACAATACCAAGATTTTATTATAGTGGTAAAATGCTATATTTAGTTGTAATGGAAAGTGAAAAAGGACCAAGAAGTGAAATGTGAAAGGAATAGTGTGGTAAATATGTATTGAAGTTATTACCTGATCGCAACATGGCTTAGTGTTTGTAACACCTGAAGGTGGGAGCTGCACAGATGAGGATNTTATTATTATTTGCTGCACCACTTTTCAGTGGTAACAAAATTTAATTGCTTTAAAGTTTGTCCACACCAACGTTTAACTAAAACAAACAATAAGCGCTTTCATTAAATGGCTTGAACTTCAAAATGGGCTCCATTTGCTACTTTCTGGTTGAACATAAAGTGCTGAACAATGTTTCATTTCCATGCACAATCATGAATCCAGTTTCACTTTAGTTTCTTACTAACCACTCCCACCAATCTGTGTTTTCAGGGCACTGGAAGGGAACAGTGTCATGCTCAAGGACACTTCAACAAACTGTAGGTCTGGACCTCCACCACAGATCTGAAACCTGAACTTTTATGTTTTATTCAAAAATAAATARASTRA